TCAGCTGTCTGTACCCGCGTTACTAATGAGAGCTGAATTCAAGTGCGAGAGAGCTCGTTATTCCCTTATCGAACTCTGGCTGGACGAAGAAAAATTGCATGAAATCGATTTCGTACTTCCAATATCCCGAGTTTATCTGCTTTAGCAGCAAATGCAGAAAATGTTCTCGGGATAACGTCAGCTTTTTATTTCCCCCACGGGTTTTTAGAATTTGTGGTATTATGTGTTCGGTGTGATATGTTTCAGAATGTTTGTAACACTCCAGGGCAGACTCCGCACGTAAAAATATGAAAAAGGTACATGTGAATATATAGGGTCTGCAAATTGACAGATACAGGGTATTTAAACCTCATCTTTAGCGAAAAATCTTTCGCCACTGTTTTCTGCAAAAGCTCTTCAAAGCCGTACGAATTCGAATTGTCAATTGTTTTTTGAGGAGTCGTTAAAAGAAGTGCCTGCACAATTAACTGCTTCTATTAAAGATAAATAGATTGATTTTTTGGTCAGTACAATAATTCTTAATAAAGTCAAGTAGGTTGACTCTTCACTTCTTACGCAACGTCGTCATCAGTTCACAAAGGATTATTTCAGCGCAAGTCAAACCCTCTGAGAAAAAAATTAACTACGAACAGGTTCAATACGGAAATTAAACGAATTGAGTCAGTCAAACAGACATAGTACAATTAGTTTATAGACAGTGTTTCCCTGCTCTACCAGTAGTATGCAGTACTCACCCAGTAGGGCGGAAGAACTCTAACCTCCAGCATACACTGGAAGCAACTACTACTAAATTCGGGAACAGCCTTTCTAAAGAACCACCCTGAAGTAAGCTAGTTCCGTAAGAATGTTCACTTTGTTACATCTCAAGCGGAAAGCCAAAATGAGTTTTAAGGGCAAATGCACTGGGAAATCTATGATGTGTGAAATATATACACACTTTCCCACGTTTTTGCAATCTCCCCACCCCCAATTTTAAATTTTTTCTCATTTTTTTTAACCTGGACCGAGTTTAAAATACTACAGTGCTTTTTCGTCCTTGCCATAGTAGTAGTCTTAGGTGGAAATTTCATCAACATCGGAACGGTACCTCTCAAGTTATAGACTGGCCAAGGATGCCTGTAGGTACACGTCATATAACATAAAAACGGATTATCTCTTTTTCGAAAGTTAAAAGCTGCTTTGCATACCAATCAGGGCTATATCAAGTAAAAGATGAAGCATATACCTCAGAGGGGCATACTAAGTAAAATCAATTTGGCTTTACTTCTTCACAAAAACCAGTGGGGTGCCGTTTTCTACTAAAAATGGTCTTGCCAGCACGAACGTCACTGGTGTTAGTGATTGGAAAGTTTCGGTACATGCCAATGTGACATTTTGTTGGTCGACTAACTGGCGCTGACTTAGACATCGTAAAGATGCTTATTTCCCTCGGGCATCACCCTAGTTTTATATATGCGGAAACAGCACTTTTCTCTTCCAAAACTCCCGTGGAGAACACCTTGGCAGCTGCAGTGAACACACGCTAATTCCCGAGGATGTTTAAAAACATACTTACATTTCCTCAATCTTACTTCTTAAAGGTGCTTAGCTGGCTCTCTACTTCTCAAATAAAACTGGGGATAATTTTCACAAAACAGAATTCATCGGTTATAAACGGAATGTATAGTCGGTTGACAGGAACGCGGACCGGTCAAAGTTCATACTAAAGCCAAGCAAAAGATTAGCAGGCAGCGAGATACACCAAGAAGCAAGAGATGTACCGTGTGGTGGTAGTGTGCGAAAAAGTGATATCAATAGCATGTAAAACAAATCGGTGTCATTAGGCCCAAACCGACAATGACTTCTGCGGTGTGGTGCGGTTGGAGTTATATACCTTATAGGCCGTTCCATATGACGATTGTACAGTATCTGCTTTGCTTGTATCCCTGAAGGATCACAGGTTTAACTGTACGGGATTAAAAGATAATTTTTGTCGAGCACTGATTGTTTGTATTTCGGATTTCTTATGCCGCACCTCCTGATGTTTCGATTCACGTGAGGGTCACGCGTCCATAGGGCGAACTATACTGAATCAAAAGGTCGACAGACCAAGATATAAAACAAAAATTCTCCTATTTCTGCTAGATAGAGGTGGTCACCTATAGAATGACCTTTCAAAAATATCGGTCAGTTTGAAGAAATGAATAAATTGTTATCTGAAAATATAGGCACCAGAGAAGCCTAGAACTCAATTATTGATTACGGCAATGTACGGTTTTTAGCACCAGTGAGAAGTCCCTACTGTGATGAGTGAATCAGTGAATTATCCTCAAAATAGTGCAACATTTTTAAGTAACACCCATTATTATTATTGAATATTGAAGGTGGTAGAGCGTGGAGCTCTGTCAGCGATACGGTGCATTTTTAAGGGTGAATGAACCAACAGCTCTTTGTACCCTCACCTGGAATATCCAGATCTAGAGTAGAACATTACAGATGCTATACACACCCTAAAAGGTACTTTCCCAGTGGACAGACGCAGGGTGCTTGTTATCAACGGTACGTCAAAACAGAACAACTTCCTTTTGTCCAGTCACCAGAAAATGCATCGGTTAGTATTCCAAGAAAATAATTTTTTAAAGTTATATAATTTTGAAAAACTAAAGCGCTTCTGTAAGTCACACAAGAGCAAAACTGAAATATTCTAATACTTTTCGTTTTCTCCGTTATTTGGCTAAGTATGAAATGACCTCCTCCCGGCATGACAAAAAATCAAACACTGGGGGTATTGACATCATCGAGCTAATTGTTTCTGCTCGTACTGCCTTAAGAAATTTGCGATTATCCAAAATTTTCTAGATAGACTGAATGTTTTCATACTCAACTTTTCTCAAATTAATTTTTGTAGCTCTCAAACGACTTGGCGAAATTTAGTATAAATTACAGATAATATGTATGGTATGCTATGAACCAGAACCATGCCTTAGGGGCAAACTACAATTCTGGAATTCCCTACACTGTTGTACAATTATTAGAGATTTTACAAATAGTCCCGTAACCACTTTTTCGGATAGCTGAATTATCGTGATTCGTGATTGTTTCGTTCGGAATTGGCTTGGGAGAGCAACAACATATTTCCAGTAACAAATCCCATTTATAAAAAACATGGGCGTGTCCCAAAATCATTAAGTTCACGCAATAATTCAATTACTTGTTTTATAAGAATTATACCAGTAAATTCTGGGTCACCGATATAGATTCACCTCGTTTATAACACCTATTTCATTCAACAACAAAAAAAGTAGCTGGAATGCGACAATAACTACTGTCAAGGCCCTTTGGAACTGTCTAGGTCGCATCCTAGGTGATATCCCTACTGACTCACAGCGATACGGTGCACATACATTTTTTTTCAATTTAATAAATAGATCGGAGGATTAAACATATGAAGGGTAATCATAATGTACAGTTCTTCCATAAGGTGTTTTAAGTTTTAACTACCTCTTTCGCGTATGAATAACGAGTTTTCCAAAGTTAAATTTCGTTACAATTTAACGGAGGTCCCACAAGTCATCCAATATCTCAATCTGTTTTCAAGTGGTCAAAGGCCGTTAAAGACGTATAAGTATTATGGAAACCGAGGATTGACGTCAATATTCACGAAGACTTTTTCCAGATTTCAAAGTAATGAATCTGCCTTTCAGTTGAGCTGGTTACTTCAAAAACCACTCAAGTTTATTATTTCAAACATGCTTGTTTTAATAAAGACGCTTTATTAAAGTTAGATGCGTATTCTGGGTATACAACTCGTCATTACATTACATTCCTTGTTCTTCAAATAATATCTATCATCTACATGGATGTGTTGCTTCATAAACAGAATAAGAATCCTTGATATGTATTTTTTCATATTTATGTGCTAGGTATATGCATAAAGATGTCAATTTTAACTTCACTTACTACAAAATCAAGTTTACAGGCGAAACACTTTCCTGTTATAAATCTGTGTTTCGGAAAAATTAGTTTGCTACTTCAGGGCTCTTTAACTTTGAAATTGATGTGGTCAAAAAGATAATCCAACATATAGTATAACAAACGAATGACTGTTACGAGGTACAGCTAGACACTATATCGCTGTCCAAAGCGACACCAATTTTATAACAGAAAACTTTGTCTCTTAATACCCCAGATCCAATTTTTTACAAGAAATTTATATAGAAACGGTCATTAGAAGGATAATTATCACATATTTTTTCTTATTTCCTACCAAAGCCTTATCCTCCTCATTTGCACCACTGAGCCTTATCCTCCTCATTTGCCGCACTGAGAGAGTCTTTGAAGTATACTCTAAATATTATAAAGAGCTGTCCGTATAAAAGTGAAATTACACAATATTTTTGGTGTAAAGATATATTTTGCAGTCTGGTAGCCTATTAAGCACATAGGTTATAACGATTGCAGGTTTTTGATGAAAGTTGAACGAATAAATCTAGGTACTTTTTCACAATGACGGATTCGTGGTTTGGGTGTCAAACGGAAAATAAGATTTTGCTTGTGTGTTCGCTTGCCCAGACTCTCCATATGTATCTTCATTGTATCAAAACATGCAAAATTAAAACATGTGACATGTTAATAAGGCAATATTCCAGTGTAATTTTCAATAATAAGCAATAAAATATGATTAATATGATTAGTCATTCAAACACTGATTTCTTTAGAAGCTCAAACGGCTTAATGACTCTAAAAAATAATTTAATGCTGGTTTGCGTGCAAATGAGTTTTTATTGTCTTCTGAGAAATTAAGGGAAGTGTAAATAAAATCAAAAATGCCTACAGAATTTAAAAATGAGTGAGAATCTCCCAGTCAAATTGGTTAACTAGCTTATCCCATTTCAAGTTTGTAGCCTACAAATCTCAGGTAGGCGTCTCAAAAGCAAATTTGAATGTGTTAAAGTGGTTGGCAATAATTCAATGTAACTTGGATTTGAGTCTGTCATCATCACTAATAAATTACCTTGTTTCAGGATTTGCCCCATTCGTGGATGGCACAATCCTGGTCAATCCAACCGGCATTCCTCCTACACCCAGCGGACCTGCACAATCGTCAATACCTACATTTTCTGGAATGGAATTGGCAGATTTTCCAGACAGAGATCTTCTGTTCGGACTCACGAGTGTCGAGTCATTTCTAGACCTCAATGCACAGGTAGGCACCATTGTCGCATAATCCTGTTGGAAATGATACCCACACACTATCGACTTCTATACTGAAAATACATGTGTTGGTCCACGAAATATCGTATAGCATTACTAATCCTAATTGAAGTAGCCAAAAGTACCGGGGCCATCGGAAAAATTGAGGAACCTCATACAAATTGATGATGGCATAGAGCATAAAAATCACTGAATTGCGTCCCGCAAGTTTTGTATACAAACACTACAATGATTCAACTTGGCTGTAGTGATCACGTGAAACAATAAAACTAATATACGTAAACTGTCCAACACCTCAAAAATTTGGAAATGAAGCCTAACGGAGAGTTTACATCAAAATTGCTTTGTTTCAAAGGGCCTGTCCAAATACGAAATAAAATGTAGCGCTATCCAATTAAAGAAAGGTATGTTAGTGTCAGCAGGTAGTTACGAATCACCCTGTAGAGATAAAACCATTTTCCGAGTGAGAAACATATCATAGACTACAACTTTTGTATTTGACTCTTTTAGATACCATGCGTAATAATGGAGTTATCGACAGAGCCCACGCTGAAACTCACACTGTGTATATTAAAAGGAGGCATTGTGAATTTTGAGCCTCATATCTAACCGAAGACTGAGTTTCCAGACCGGACTTTAGTCCCATGTACACTTTCAATCACAATGGTATAGATAAGCTATAGATTTTGGACGTGGTTATTCAATTCCAGTCTTTTCCCATTGGTTTCATAGGCAAGATGGAATTTCTGGACTGTGTCCACACATCTGAAAAAAAATGCTTCGTTACATAAATCCTATTTGCGTATTTTGATAGGCAATCAAAATAGGGATTGGGGAAGTGAGAAATAATCTATATCATCTGCCTTAAGAAACTCTCAAATCCTACACACCGATATAAAAAGACAAACTACGGACCATCAGCTCAGCGAAAGATTCTCCCAAAGACATTAAACGCGTATATGGGTATATCGGATATTGCTCTATTGCGTGACAACTGGGCATCGTCTGCTAAGCGAAGTGACAGAAAATGCGATAATGGCCTTGAAAATTGCTGTCATCTCGTCGTTCCGGATTCCTGCCACTACCCTATTCGAAAACATGACCAGATCTGAGCTAAAAATTATACTCAATATAGTAGTAGCTATCGAGTACATGGCTATCTGAATTGAGAGACTCGTTGAACTACAGTGCCCATCCTTGTAACAACGTTGCGCTTTGGAATTATAGGTTTAAGTATACATTTTTCAATAATTAATCAAAAATTTAAAGGTTTTCAAATATTTGACTACCAAAGGAATATTATTAGAGATTTCTGAATAGCTTCAGGAATTGAGGATTTATCAAATTTTAAACCTTGTCGGAGTAACAGCTTTTGAAAAATACTCCAACCATGGAAGATGTGACTGTTTTCATTTTTCAAAAAGTAATTAAAAGCTAATTCTTTTTTCAATATAAAGAACAGTCACATTCCCATACTTTTGTCATTCAGCAAGTCATTCACCATGCTCAGACACTGCTCGTTGGCGTTCCCTCCAGATATGGGCAGTGACGTCTATTGGCGAGGCATGGGGTTATCGTGGAGCGAAAACTAAGAGATCAAAGGGCATTTCATCCTCTTCCCACTGTATACAACATACAGAACCTTATTTCATTCCTACAAGGGACAAATGCTTATTATGCACTCGCCCGAGACAATCCTCACCAGGATGTTGAGTGGTTCTCCGACCTTTTAATCAACATTCAAAGCGTCAGATGTTCATTGAAGCACATAGCTGTACCTATATCTCCTGGACTACCCTAATGTCACGCTTTCGCTACCTTCCATATGTTCTTTTATCTAAAGCACGGTTGACCTGACAACCAAATTATATCTTTCTACATAGTATGACCAATACGTACAAAAATTTTCTCGGTTCAGGTTACACCAGTTAACTGCTCCATAAGAAAAATGAAAGTTTCCACTGACTTTCTTCAAACATCTATTACATCTTTGATTAAATTCGACTTTACATGAAGCGCCTTTTCATCACACTAACCCTTTGAAAGAAAACTTGTTTTGAATATCTAATTGTGTGGTGAAGTCTGTATAAAGAACTTAAATCCTTTCTGCCTTGGACATACCATAAAGTTTGACATTTAAAATTGTACACATGCAAAATTATTTTCACACACGCATTCGATGATCCCAAAAAATCAATGCTTCTCCTCGCCTAGCTGCACATTAGTGGTGTTCTCGGAGATTTGTCGCAACCACAACATCGCGTAAATTGACTTCCTATCTCTTCTATGTGCTGTTTTTTATTTGATTACGCATAAACTATCCCGGGAAAACAAATACGCTTCTCCTCGATTCGATTCGCTCAAGTGAGCATGCACCTTAATGGATTTCCTACAAGACGACTTCCCACAAAACTTAGAATTAGAGTTATTTTTACCTATTACTTTTTGAGTGGCAATTGACGAAATATTCATTCACATTTGAAATTTAGCTGTGTTATCTTGCTTCTTTTGCAGGATTTGCAGTTTGGTTTCAACGAGACCAAACGTGACCGCATCCTACGCACCTACGTTCGCAACACGTACTACTTCCATCTGAATGAGATCTTCTCCACATTAAAAAATGAGTACACGGACTGGGAAAGGCCGACTCAGAACCCGTTAGCTGTTCGGGATGCTACTTTGAGCGTACTCAGCGATGGACATACGGCTGCACCCCTAATACGACTTGGGTATCTGCATTCGATTGCGGGAGGGAAGACGTTTTTTCTGCACTTCAGGCATCATAATGATGCAACAGATTTTCCGCAAGTAAGAAAAATACAATTTCAGCTTCTGAATGGAAAATTAAATGTAAATAAAGGGTCGCTTTATTGATTCACCCAATAGCGATTGAGCCTTTGTTGAGATTTAATTCTGGTCTTTGGTTCTGAATGAGAAACTTTTGAATTCATGTATAAAAGCAGTATTTATTCAATATTTCAGTGAATTCCTACGCCAGGGTCTAATACAATTCAAAATGTGTGGATATTGTTGGAATTCAAATGTAAAACTTTATCTGAAGGTGAACTACTAAAACACCTCTGGCCTCTAGTACGCAGATTGATTCCTATAATCCGTCGATGACCACTTTGCAGATACTTATTTGATAAATGTTGTTAACAGATAACAAGTGATCCTAGTAGACTTCGTAAAAAATATTGCCTATACATCAAACCGTTTTGAGTTTATATGTAGTCTTACTAATGTTCCCTTTTAGATGGATTAAAAACCAGTTTCCGGTATTGTATTCACCAATAGACCAATACTAAAGATAGGTTTCGCTGATATTACCACAAAATTAAAATAACATTGTAAATATGTCAAAATCTAGGTCCTTTACAGCACACTTGGTTCCTGGAATGTCCGATTCAGGTCCAATTTTAGTCGGTATGTCCCTTTCCTAATTTGGACGACCTTGGAATGATTTATTGGGGCTATCTACAGCTATGTCGACGGGATTTATCAGAATATATATTTTTCCTTTAAAAATGAGTTAATTGAGCTCAAATAATCAGAATCGGCTCACCGGTTACGAAGATGTGTTGAATAACTATTGCACAACTAGGAGGCCATTCTATTAAATATGGCGAACAAATGACAAGTCGCATGCCCTGACTTTTTATATACCTATTCCTATAGGTGCATAATAATGACTCGAAGTTAAACACACGTGACCTTAGTGGCAGGGTCCTGTGCTTTGAGAGATTGTTTGTTATTTCAAGTTTGTGGTAATATTAGTATTTGTGGGTACAATACTGATAGCTGTTCAGAATGTGCTTTACTCCACCTGAACTGCATTATTTTCCCATTTAAAATAGTATTATTTGAATAACTATACAAATAGATAAAAATGAATAACTACAAGATTATACAAAGAATGTGTAGTCCCTTACAAAAGGAATAAGATAAACATTAAAAGTTAAAAATTTCTAGATGCGAAGATATGTTTGTTGAAGAGCCGTTTTCCAACCTGGCGACCATTTATATATATGGCGGAAGTACTATTCCGATTTTGAAAGCGTGACGTGATTTATTCCACACTTAGTGGTTACTCCCTACAAATTATTCTCAGTCGTTCTCAACCAAGGCATTGTGAATTCAAAAAGTCTGTACGTAATCCAACAAAATAAGATGATGATAAGGAAAAAATCAAATGATAGATGCATAGCAAAGAAGTTAAATTGACCTCAGTTCTGACGTTTTATAAGTCTCATGTAACCTAAAAAGTTAATCAAAGTCAATTATTATCATTCTACATTTTTCTTTTTGTTCTAGTTTGAAGATCAATAAAGATCTCGCATTTCTGTATGCAAATTTTATTATTTCCAGAATAGTGGCAGCGTTCGAGGTGAAGATATTCCTTACATTTTAGGATTACCTATTGTTGGAGGTGGGTCATTCTTTCCGCACAACTATAGCCATGCAGATGCACAAATATCAAAAACAGTGATTACGTACCTCAGCAATTTTGTTAAAAGAGGGTAAGTATTGGTAGACTTTTGCAACTTCGTGAAATACATCTTACTTGTATGGACGTCGTTGCTTATTGTACACCCCGTAAGCTACTCCTAGAAAAATCGAGCAACATAAAAGACAATTTCAAACGATCCAAAACCAGATCGGCATGTCAACATTTTCTGAAAAGGTGCAGTTACATTTAATGAAATTAAATGGAAGCAAGGAATAAAAAATACTGAGACATAGAGTAATTCAAGATGATATTGAAGCTATACAAAATACACATAAGTTCTGAATATGAAGGGAGGAAAAGATGTTTTATACAAAAGTTGAGTCTAATAGATGTTTCTCATGCAATCTTTATTATAACCCGTCATACAATCAAGTTAAAGAGAGGTCAATTTTAGCAGGGCACTTTGTTTAAGGCGTTTGACAGAAGCTATGGTAGAAAGTATCTGGCAGCGCTGAATATTATTTTATAATAATGCTTTTCAATATATATAAAAATCAGCCATTAGATTTCAAGTGAAGTTACTATTATTTTTACTTAACCTGGTACCGGGAAATCGGACCACTACCCAGCATGTACGCGGACGTTGAAAGTCAGACAGTGCTTTCGAGGAAGGTTTCCGCTCTTACTTATTTTTCAAATGGGTCGAGTTAACAAGATAAAATTTAGGAGATGAAACTGACACATGGATACTTTATTTTCACGTGAAGATAATAGTCTATAATTTCAAGATGATGAACTTTTTGTACATTGAGTCGCTTATAGCTCAATATCGTAACGTTATAGTATAGTAGAATGTCATCTCATCATTCTAAGGACTCCATTGTCTGTCCCTTAATTCTGATCGCGGTGGCCGAAACGTCGTAAAATAAACGGTAATTAAAGCACACGCGGTTTGAATAAACGGCCAGAAAATAAAGTCCTATCAACGTGAAAACCACAGGATAAGTTTCAGGTGTTACATTAATTAATACTCTCCTTTGGAAGGGAATAACTGAATGTGCAACAAAATGTCGGGCACACGGTTTAACAAAGAATTAAAGATTTTTACAATTTTGTTCAAATGAATGTCTCATATTTCATTATATATTCTGATAGACTTTTCCAGGAAAGCGTTCAGATCATCGAATTCATACTAGGTGGAAAGGGTGAGTCAAGGAACTATTTGTTTCCTGATTCTCATAGTCTGCAGTGAGAATAAAAATGCATTTGTCATAAGTAAACACACACATTTTTACAAAGAGCGACACAATCCTAATGAAGGTAAATGTTTCCACAGGTAAATATCATTATTGTGTTGATAAAATGCTGTCACTTTGGTAGGGATTGGTACTCAAGTAAGTCAAAAGTAACAATGCAATGTAAACATATGTGCTTGTCTCCTTCTGATATATTTGAATTGGTTCAGATCGAAACGTCTAGTCACCCGCATGGGTATTTCGTATCTTGGAAACTGACACAGTCGTTTTTTTGACATTATATAGGTTTTTTACCTAATAACCTTGCCAATAGAGGATAATCTCGGGGTGTTTCCAGACAGCTTGTTGAATCTGGACATTCAAGTAGAAATGCCACATGTGAAGTTTAACTCCAGCAACCTGAACGAACGAGACGCGTCCAGATACAAACCTATGTCTGATCTGAACGCGCTCCAGAAGAAGAATAATATAACATAGCGTTTTGATGCTTGATTATTCAGTTATAGGCGACTCAATGTACAAAATCTGTCAACTTTGATAGCCTGCCATTTCGCCATTTTGAAAGGTAGTGATTTTATATTATTGGGTTATGAATTGTTCTTATGGAGCTCCAAAATGGGATGTCACGCGTTCTTTCCAAAATAGCGTACATCCGCAATCTTAAAATGTCCACCTCACACTTTTACGCGTAAGTACAGTATTTATGCTTACGACCTCGACGCATTCAAAAGACAAGTTTTGTCGTTCGGAAAATAAGTAATGTCTGAGAGCCCTTGGATCTCACACTACTGGGCACCAGAAAAAATAGAGAACGATGCTTCGATCTAACTGTTGAGGGACTGCTAACAATCAAGACTCTCTACTCCCATGTTGTAAGCAGTTTCGATTTGAGAAGAATCTTAATTAATGTGGCAATTAGAAACTCTATAAGCTTGATGTTCTGAAAAAGCAAACTTCATCTCTCTTAATTAAGCGAACTGCTTTATAATAACGAGCGGTAAAAACTAATTAAATAAATTAGATATTTGAAAGTTTGAAGAACAAGTATCTGACTCTGCGCTATATCACAGCTTATACCTAAAGTGGTCACTAGGCATACCATGCAATTATACCAAAATAATGGTAGAAGACTTCTCTCCTCAAGTTAGGGGCTTAGAAACGATGCAGACGCTGTATTTGGTCTTGATAATGGCTCTCCCAAAAAATATTTAGACTACAACGTACTTGGAATACTCAAGAGGGAATCAAAACCATATCTATTTTTTACGTCGTACACTTCAGAAATGACGTTTTTATGCCATTCTAATTAGGAGTAGAAATTGTATACGTCTGTAGCAAAATTAGAGTTGGAATAATGTTTCAGCTTGATGCGCCACCAATTTTCTGTTGAAGGTTCGGAGTTAACTCAGGATCATTTTTGATCCATCGCTAGGATTCAACGGGACATTTTTGAATCCACTCTCAGTCACATACGAGAGATCCGTCGTTTTATTTTTTGGCCACCAAGTGCGATTTTGTTGATGCCTTGAGTACGGTAGTGGATTTCCTACATATGTCTCAAAATGTAGTTAACACGTAAAAACATGATGTTATGTAATCCTGAATAACATTGTGCCCTCATGAATCATTCACGCAACTTTTTTAGCCAGTAATTCCGTACACTTGTGCAACTATAAGAGTACAATATTCAACAGGGGGCAGCATGGCGGTTAAGGTGTTACCAGCGCGATAGTAGGAAAGAAATGTCTTCCAGTGCACCAGACGAGCAGCTACATCAAACACGTCTAAGTAGCGAATGGAACTGTACGTTAAATGCCTCTTCAGGGATTCCCAAATATGGATATGCTTTCTCGATTAGAACCTAAGCTAAAAATACTCCAGGTAGAAATGCGTATAACCGAGTAGTGCACAGAATGACTCCTCTTAGTTTGATACTGCCTCATGACCATTTTGGGTCTCATTTTGATGACCGTGGCGCAACAATTAATGAACAGTTAGGAAGATCCGATTTCGAGTTTCCGGAGATGTATTAGCAGAGGTACGGAGTTCAATGGAAATAGATGATTATCATGTCACAAAGTACGTTAGGTTGGGCGAGCAAGGTCTTCCTGATTTTCCAGACATTGAATAGTATTCGGAGCATGTGCGCGAAAGCCAACACTTGCTCCAAATTACGACAAAAACCGCAAGCTTAAACTTTCACATTTTATGGGTAACGTCAAAATATTCATCAGGTTTTGTATAAATTCGCTTCTAATGAAAGTGGAAATATATCACGTCGGTAATCAAACGGTACTTTCCGTTCAAACTTCACATTAACATGGATCAATGATGGACCTAAAGATCTGGAATAAGACAATATCTTACATTTGAAGCTCGAAAAATAAAATTATTAGTAACTTCCAAACCATCAAGACGCTCAATTAAACATCCATATTTTTGAATAGCAACCATTCTATTATGCAATTGACAAACTGAAACCAACGAGATGCAACAAAAGATACTTCTCTACTTAAGAGAGAAAAATCTAACTTCTGAGGGGCAAAGTAAGTAGTTGTTTCTCAAATTATAGGAGAAAAGCAATTCTCTTGAAATTGGCAGTGCTAGTTCCTACCTCTGACGTGGAAGAAACGGGTGATCAGTAGTTTCTGAAAACTCCTCAAAGTTACAAGCGTCTGTTGGCATTCCACCTTTTATCGCCAAGTGTACTGAAGCGGAGAAATTAGCAGCATTACTTTCTGTCCTCATCAAACCTACTGCTACCTCAGGCAGTGTTTTATTGACGGCTTGATAGTCTCGCCACATTTTAAGAAAATTAAAGGCATGTCCTTTGTTATGCTAAGATGGGCTCTTTTATGAGCCGCATCGTATAGGTCGTTAAATTTGTCCACAAAGGGATCATTTCATAATTCTGCCAGGCCTGAGAGACGAGTGCATTTCCTCGGAGCGCTTGATATTTCTCGCAAAGGGGGTCTTTCATCAGCGTGTACGTTCTATCACTGGCAGGGCGTTTTGTTAAGAAAAGTATTTTATCTCCATCATTCTGAATTTTCAGGAAAACTAGATGGATTTTTCAAAATGGGCAGTTTTTCAGATAAACACTTAAATAATTAAACATCTGGGGTACGAAGCTCTCCTAAGAAACTGTTTCGATTCGAAGTTACGTAACGGGGTGATAATGTTCATTTGTGAAGCTATATGTTGCGAAGCTCCTTACTATAAGGGCGAATCAAAATAGCAACCATCTTTCTTCATAGATTTCCAGCAGTTATCCAAAATTTCAGACCTCCCTCATGTGCCATTGCATTTGTGTAAACTACTAGATACTACTTAGATATCCACATAGAGAACAACTTAGAAGTATAAGCCCAGATATCGAGCAAGCGATAAAGAAGGTCCTCTTGGGCCGTACAGAAATTATTGGATATGGATATTGCTGTATTTGAAAGAGGTCGATCGCCTATGACGGAGATTGGGGCGTTCTGTCAAACGATACCAAGTCTTTGGGAACTAGAAAATTATCCGAATTTTTGCTTAAAAATGTTACTTCTCTTCATGTTCTCTGGAAGGGTCTATCAGAATATGCAATAAAATATGGGATAATGCATTGAAAAATGTCAAAAATTGTCAATTTTTTGTAAACGAAATATCTCATTTTTTATTGCACATTAAGATAGACACTTCCAAAAAAAGAAGCCTGAGAAGAAGTTTGATATGTCATTCTATGAAGTTTCAGATTAGTTGCCGAGTATAAACGACCCAGTAGTATAAAAATGCTTAACTTCGACAGCCTGCTGGTCCGCCATTTTGAAACAGAGTGACTTTATATTTCAGTGTTGTAAAGAACCCCTAGGGGGCTTCAAAGGAAGGTATCACATGATTCTCCATTACATCTAAAAAATGTTACCATATGGCACGATGATGTTTCTCGTATTTATGTTTCAATTTCATCATCCGGAATTTTGGCTTCCCAACTTGACCCGATCCAAGAATAAGTAAGGAAGGACCTGTCAAAAAAGCACTGTATATCTAAATTGACTAAGAACATACTCAAAACTTATCAGTCCTATTGTTTAATAATACGAGTATGTTACACATTTAGTTACTGAATTATTTTTTTACCAGGGATCCGAATACTGTCCAACCATATCAAGCAAATTTTGTCCAAGAACGAAGCAGTTACAACATGGGGATACCTTATTGGGATACATATGACAATATTAACCAGTTTTACCTAGAAATAGGTAGGTAACACTTAATTACTAATACCGTTGCTTTGATCAAATAAATCAATAAACCGTTTTCGCATTTGTATGGGAAATCAGATTTCGCACTTTCAAAAGGCCACTGCATTATACAGAGGGTTTTCGATACTGGCTATAGACAAGATGCAATCAGCATCAAACAAAAAAGATCATTTGTAGCTATTTTTACAAAAAAAAACAAATAAAATGTTAACACACACACTTTGCACCAATATGTTTTTTCTTTCAAATTCCCACAATATATATACAGGGTGACAGGTAAATAGGTGTAAAACATTTTAGGAGGTGATATTAAAATTAGTATATAATACCATAGCCTATATTCAAAGGTTAAAAAGTTATGGAAGATTTAATTTTTTTAAAAAAACAACCCAGATTACAGAGCAAAATAGTTGAGATAAAAAAAGTTGGTGATTAAACATTCTTTTTTTGGTGGTTTCAGGATATTATTTAAATAAATAATTCTCATAAATTAAAAAACATATGAAAGCACTACTGAAAACGTATTTATTTTCATTTAGATGTTAAATGAAAATTTTTATTTTCCACTTTCACATTAGGAAGTCTTTTTTTCAAAAAAATCATAATAAAGAAAATCTACAAATAACTGCAAAAACTTCCTCGTTTCATTAGGTTTCTAAAATGGTATAATAACATATCAGTAAGTAAACCATTTAACAAAACAATATTACTTTGCTAGAAAGGACCGCTAAGCGCATTTCATTGAACAGGTAAACCGAGCCTTTCATGGTTCGACCCTTTTTGTTATTTTTTGTGCCTTGTGCCGTTATTCGGGTTTAAGTATTCGGAATCTGTCGTCCCTCCTCGGAAGCAAGCTCTGCGTGTGTTATGAATTGACACAGCTCACGGATCAAGGAAAGGGAACTAACGCTTAGGTTAGTTAGTAGAATATCAACCTTAAACGCGGTAGGACGTACTTTTACTTTTTTGATCAGTTTTAATAATGGCGAGTTACTGTAACGAAGAATACGCTGATATTCTGTTTTGTTATGGTTTAAGTGATGGAAATTCCATCGAAGCCAGGCGAGAATACGAAAACCGTTTTCCGAATCGGCGAATACCGAGTCATCGAGTATTTGCTTCTGTGTACCAACGCGTCAAGGAAAGTGGACAGGTTCATGAGAGACGTCATGATGCTGGTAGACCTGGGTTGTTTGACGATGAAGATCGAGAGGCAATACTGGAATGCTACGGCAGAGACCCGACGACATCTACACGAGTTATAGCAAAGCAGCTTGGTTTAACTCAGTGTAAAGTTTGGTTCGTTTTGCATTCGGCGAGACTTTACCCTTTCCATTACACACCGGTTCAACTATTAGAAGAAGGAGATCCCGCAAGAAGAATTGATTTTTGTCGATACATGCTTCATTGGGATCAAGAAGAAAACGACTATTTAACTAAAATATTGTGGACTGACGAGTCTAAGTTTGACAGAGAGGGGACAACAACTTATCACAACTTACATTATTGGGCCCCTCGAGAGGCAAATCCCCACATGGCAAAGCCAAGAGCCCATCAAAGAAGATTTTCGGCAAACGTGTGGATGGGAATCATTCATACGTATCTAATTGGACCAGTTTTTTTGCCTGACAACCTGAATGGCGAATCCTATGAAAACTTTTTGAGATCCGAACTCTGGGGGTATCTCGAAGACCTGCCTCTGAATATCAGGATGCAGATGATCTACCAACACCATGGCTGTCCCGCGCATTTCTGTCTGGGTGTTAGACAGTGGCTGGACGAGAAATATCCTTGTCGCTGGATTGGCCGAGGTGGACCGACACCGTGGCCAGCGAGGAGCCCAGATTTAACACCGTGTGCCTATTATTTATGGAGGCACATGAAGTCACTGGTGTACGCTGAGCCCATAGACACTCTTGCACAGTTGAAAGAAAGAATTATTGCTGCTGCTGACACTATGAGAGGACAACTAACTGGCCGCGTCACGCGTACCAACATGAGAAAAAGACTACGGGCTTGCATAACGGCGGGCGTCAGTTCGAACAACAATTGCAATGAATTTTACCTTCATTTCATTATTGTATTTTACTTACCAATTGTAGTAACTTTTAGTCAGTTTTTATTATTCTGTAGTACAATTAAAACTGTGTAAATAATCTAATCGTGTAACTTAACCGTAGTTTAAAATAATAACTATCCCATAGCTTACAGTTACATTATTTTCACAAAAAGCCATTGGTAAATTTACTCCCTTACAATACATTATGTTTAGTTTCACACAGTTTTTGTGCACTTATCATGGATTCCTTATGAAACCAGGATATTATTTAAATTGTTTGTACATTTTTTTGTATACTGATTTTTTTGTAAAACACCTTACTTACTGTAAAACGTTATTTGTTTTTCTTAGTTAAACATTTTTGAATGAAAATAAATACGTTGTTTTGTATTGTTTTCGAATCTTTTTAACCCAAAACCACAAAAAACAAATGTTTAATCGCCAACTTTTTTCTCTCCCGACTTTTTTACTCTGAAATATGGATTGTTTTTAAAAAAATCCTAAGTCTTCAATAACTTTTCAACCTTTGAGGGTAGAGTATGGTATTGTATACTAATTTCGATAGCAAAGCGGCTGTACTATCACCTCCTAAAATGTTTTACACCTATTTACCTGTCACCCTGTATTTAAATCGATGCTAAAGACGCGCTAATGAAAAAGTGCTTGCCATGAGTCGTTACATAATTTTTCTGTCAGTGGACAAGGGCACGCTGACAAAATATAATGTAGACATCTATAATTTTTAGCTAGCCGTCCAGTGAAGAAGGATCATTACAGAGGCCACAAGATGTCATTGTGGTTGAACCTAATACCACAGTTGCATCGACCTAGAGAAGATGATGACGTGTCCATGAGGCATCACCATTTCTTAGAAGAGGACGAACAATACTATGATGGTACGGTAACATTTATATCACAGCTTATTTACCCAAGCGTTCAATTCATCGGTCTCTCTTTTGGCTACGTTTACTGCAGAGTGTAAATGACAGTTACTAGCTCTGAGAATTGTCTTTCACATCTGGTCTTAAGCTCTCTGAACAAACTTCACCAAGTAAATTATAGTCAACGCCAAACAAAGTGGCGTGCACGTCATCAAGGTGGGTGTGTTGACAAATTTACATTGTTGCCAAACTTTTTGTAAAATAATAAAATTTATTATTACATATCTAGGTTTATGAGCAATATTAACCTCAAATGAGAACAAAAATAATAGTATAATAAAATTATAGATCTGTACTTGCATAATCATTAAGTATGACAATTATTGATCAGATGACACTATGAAACTACCATATTTAATTGATAGCTTAAAGGTACTGAATAAAAATCCAAATGGGGTCCTCCAAATTTTATGCATGGTATTTATTTTACAGAATTCATACAGAAAAATGCATTCTAAAATTAGGTAAGCTACTGGTGTAAGCTTTTTCTGTACAATAAAGTTAGTCGGAGTTTCTTTCTTCAGCGCTGTCTGAATCTGAATCTTCATCACTCTCAAAGTTGATTATTAAAGGTTCGATGTCTGGTCGATCAAAAATTCGTTCTCTTTCATACCATTTAAAAATTTCTTGCTCAGTATGTCGAACACTATTTTTCCACATGTCTGGGGTAACCGTTTGCAGAGCCTCGTTCCACATATCCAAACAGTCTTTTTCACTGTTACCCTCTCTACCAATATGTCTGTTATAGTAACCTTTTGCTATGCCCCAAATTAACTCAATAGGGTTAAATATACAATGGTAAGGAGGCAGACGAAGAACTTTGTGCCCATGTTGTTCCGCCAATTCATCAATCACGTATATTTTAGGTGGTTTGTTTCTAAAAAAGCAGTTATTTTAAGAATAGGAATAAACAAAAGAAATATAAACTGTCGACCAAAATATATATAATTAAGAAGCATTATGTTCCGAGCAACAATACTCAATAGCTCTGTTTTAAACATTGTGTTTAAAAATGGTATGTTTTGATTTGTCAACCAGTCTTGGATATTTTTTTTTGTCCATGCATTGTTGGGCACTTTGTTCAATATCATGCTGTGATAAGGGGCGTTATCCAGTATAATCATAGATGGACTCTCCAATTTTTCTAATAACTGATGTTGAAACCATTTCAAAAATTGTCCTGGTTCATCTCTCCATGGTAATCGCTCTATTTTGTTTTCGAAGAAAATATCGCTTCACTACCCTCAATAAACCCATTTTCATTTCCAGCATGTAATATAATGAATCTAAAATATATTAGTTTTAAATTTTATAGTGCAAATTGCGTAAAAGTACA